CTCAGAAAATTACTCTTAATTTACCTATTGAAAGTGATCTTTAAACGAAAAGCAGCAAATGATAAAAATAAAGAGACATTCTAAGAATATTGTAAAGGATAATTAATAATCACTTAGACAAATAATAGTAAAAATTTGCTAGCTTATAATCAACCTCGCTATCCAACTGGGCAATAATTGGCCGGAGTAGTTTTAGTGCTGCTCTAGATGCTTCGGTGCCATGTGGTAGCAAAGTCATAGCCGTAGAAGTAGATTCATCGCCGTTGTTGCCGTCTCCTGTCTGCTTAGACAGAACTTGTATGTCAATCGGTCCAGAGTTAAGGTTGTCGTCCTCATCATCATCACTGTCTTGAAGTATAACATTGGCAAGAAAATATAAAATGGGAATGTAAGAAAATCCAGAGTGGATGAAAGCATATCAGACAGAGGATGAATAACTAAGTTCAGATGAAGTAAAAAATGCAGAATAGTAAAATATTCCTAATAAAGGAAAAAGCGCACAATCCTAAATTAAATAAGTGCTAATAAAAACAGAAAAACTCAATACAGAAATTTTTGATAAAAAGTAAATTCAAAGAATCTAATGAAGACCGAGTCTATTTCTTTGGTATTTATTTATCCCAACGCATAAGATTTTTGAAATATATGACGAAGAATGCTATACGAAACATCGAATAACGAGTAAAATTAGTAGATGGAGCCCAATACAACTCTTTTCTTAATCTTTCTCTTTGCATTTCATCATTATCTAGCTCCCGACTTCCTTACTTCCATCTGCTGATGATCTACTGTACCAATGATTAGTTAAATGTGTTCACACGTAAATCACATAATATTATATGAAGATTGATTTAATCGAAACCCAAAGTATCAGTGCTTTATACCCATCCATTTTAGCAGATCCTAAATCAAACCTATTGTAAAGGTAAGGCAGAACTCAGCAAAATTTGGAAAAGAAATAAAGCAAATCGAATGAAAGAATTAGCCCTCAAAAGTTAATCCGGATAAAGCTATCTTATATGGGATAACTATAAGGATGTAATGAATTAAGCACAGTAAAGAGGTTGTAAAATAAATGGCAAACATGTAGAGCTTAATATTGATTAACAGGTATTTGAGGTTACTAATAAATACTTTTTCGAATTAAGTATTGTTTTCGTGGCTACCAGTAAATCAGTAACAGATGTATTTACCTAACTTCGTTTAAAGTGATGAAGGACTGATAAAAGAATAAATTTTCCCACAATGATACGAGTTGAGCTAACGTTTTCATTGAATTTCACATAGCCTTGTTTTCCCAAAAGTTGTTCTCATCCAGGGTGGACTGCAGTTTCGACCTCGCATCGGTCTTATCAACACCCCGAGCGGGAGTCGAACCATGACAGGGCAGAATGGGAGCTTGACACGTTAACCACTCGGCCACATTGCCACGAGTACCTTTGGGTCACAAAGCAAATGTGAATTTCAAGGAAGGCCAGGCCTTTTAGCCATATCATATTCTATGGTGAGATTGTCGATGTAGCAGACGTATATTTGCTATGGCAATCGACTACTATACTTTATATTTCGAATTAATAATTGTTTTCGTGAATACCAGTAAATCTGTAGAAGAATTTTCCCACAGTGGTTAACGTGTCAAGCTCCCATTATGTACTGTCACGGTTCGACAAGTTAAAAAGAGAAAATAACATTTTCGTAGGTTAAGAATACTGTTGGGTAATTTTGATTCTTTTCAGAGAAGGAAATTAAGTTTTGCTTTGATAATGTTGCATGTTTGGGGAGAGTTTACTAATGTGTAGATAAGAGATTAACAAAACATGAGAGAGAAGTTGTTTGACCTTCGGTAAACTCGGTCATATTGGTAGGAAGACTCAGAGGAACGCACCTTGTCCGGAGTCAATTTTATGCATAATCATTTCCAAAGTCGGACCGTGGACGTGGTACATTCCCAGACGTTTCGCCGA